GGCCCTGGACTTGGACATCACAACCATTTCCTCCCTCATCCCCATGACCACAGATTTTTATTCTTCTGTCTACAATAGAGGAGACAGAACATTGCAGAGCAACAAGAAGGTTTCTTCTAGCCTCAGGCTGTCTGGGAACATTTCACCTAAAGCCAAGTCATGTGGTATAGGGTGCAGCATGAGTGGGGCCACCATCTGAAGACGTCAGACAGTCCCCAGAGCTTTCATTTTGGTCACATTCTTCTTCCTTTTACCATTTCTTTCTCACTTTTTTCTTAAAGGAATTGAAGGCTGATATTCTAGGACATGGAAATACAAAGGTATCTTTTTGTGTAACATTAAAATTCTGTTTAATAACATAAACATAATGCTACTATATGTGTGTACCATTTACTTCCAAGTTCTCTGCTTCAATAGGACCCACAATCAATGAGATGAGTGAGACAGAGAAGTACTGTGTTGACTTATGTCCCGACTAATTAGTCAGCAGGTGACTCATCTTTCTAGTTCATCAAGAGGATCACAAAGAAGCCCCACCCTTCTTTCTTGGAACCTTAATGTGTTCAATTAGATACCAAAGATGGGAACTCAGAGATTATTCTAGGTTCTTCCCAAAGATACAAATGATCAATGCAACATGCCCCTATTTTATTTACCTCGATTACTTTGGTCTTAGCCCAGGTTCTTAGAAATTCTCCAGGTCTCTAATCTTGCCATTCATCTTCTGCTTAACTATGTCTCACCAAGTCTAGATCCTACAGCCAGAGTGAGTATACAATACTGAATCTGGCAGTCACCTCACTACAAACATTTACTGTACCCATCTGTTTTGAGATAATGGTCTAAAGCATTTTATTTAGTAGACAAGACCCTCTGTGCCTTGAATCTCACTATTTATTATTTTATTTCTGTTTTCCACTAGAATATCCAATGCTTTTAGACTAAATATAGTGTGTTGTTCCATTCCCAGGGAGCATGCAGGCATCACCAAAGGGTATTACTATGGAATCTCTTCAAGACTGAAATCCTTCATTTTAAAAAGAACTCCATGTTACAAGGAAACTATGTCACCTCAAGGTCACAGAGCTGGTTTGAAAGACAATGGAAATTGGACACAATAGTTAGACTTACCTTTCCCAAATATTATTTAGTATTTGTGTTTAAAGGATTTAAGCCAGATTTGATGGTGCATGCCTTTAATTCCTTCACTCATGAGAGAGGCTGAGACTGGTGGATCTCTGTGACTTTGAGGCCAACCTTGATGACATAGTGAGTTCCAGAACAGCTAGGATTACATAGAGAGACCCTGTCTCAAAAATCAAGAGAGAAAGAGAGAGAAATTATCTCTTTGTGTGTGTATATTGTGTCTGTCATATATCTATGGGTGCTCATAGATGCCAAAATAAAGCAGATACCCATGGTTTGGAATCAGAGGCAGTGGTAAACCGCCCAACAAGAGTGTTAGGAAACAAACTCTGACCTTCTGGAATAGCAGCAAGTGCTCTTATCCTCCTTTTATCCTATTTTTGACATTTCTCACTCAAAGCATAGCATTATTCAATATAAAGTGTCCAAAGTCTTTATGGTCATACTGATCAGATGCTCTTAATTAACAAGTTGACATAAATGTGTTTATTCAGAGTATGTTACATAGCTCTTCCTTTCACTCCAATGCAACCCATTTTCCAGAAGCCTTCCCTTCAAAAAGTCTGCCAAGACTTCACTTCTAAGAAAACTTGCCCTAAAAATAATCTTCAAACTCAACACAAGTTACCAAAATAAAATCTCTTAAATAAAACAATGGCAGAAACAGACCTGATAATGAATATGAAATATGCTAAGAACATTCTGCTACTGAAACCAAATTCACTCTGTGTGTGTGTGTGTGTGTGTGTGTGTGTGTGTGTGTGTGTGTGTGTGTGTGATTAATGGTACAGTGAAGTCTTGAACCACATAAGAATGAAGCAACTATAGCAGAGGAGAAGTCTCCCGGAAAGAGTCCCATCTAAAAGGCATCCATTTCAAAGCACGCTCTGTTTTTTGGCTATCAGCACCCTGGGCCTGTCCAGACATTCATTTCCAAGTCCAATTTCCAAGTGCAGCTCCAAATGCAGAGTGAGAGTCAGTTGGCATGTTCAAAATTTGCTTTGGGGTGGACAGAACAATGAAATGTTTTCAGGAGGAATAATAAGTGCATTCCAACCCTTGATGGGTTTAATTCATGTTTTAGGACTATCTTTTCTTCCTGATTCCTTAGCACCACATTTCCACCAGGACATAGGGAATTAAAAAGAAATTATACATTAGGCTATTTCTGACTACCCATACAGCACTGAAGTAAGTTAACAAATGAATGAATGAATGAATGAATGAAAACAAATAAATAAATACTTAATACATTTTCATGGGAAAGAATGACAAAGGAAATCAGTTTGAATCCAGGCTGTCAGAATTGGTGAGTGATTTGCATTTAACTAGGTCTAATCAGACCATCATACCCCATACTATATTTATTGGCAAGTCTTAAGGCATGTGAGAGGGCAAAGCATATCAGGAAAGAGGAACAAAAGTTACCTGTTGAATGGGAGAATTTGGTTTGTTAGCTAAGGGTTTCAATAACTCTGGATGCTCAGAGAGCCTGTCCATCAAATTAATATGATGATAGTAGAGTGTGGGAGGGAGAGCGGAGTCTGAGACAAAAAAAAAAAAGAGAGTAGAGAGTAAGCAAGGCACTACAAGAAAAAGCATTATTGAATATTTAATGTTTAGCCTGAGACAAGAACATTTACCAAAGATGCAAATTATGCAAAAAATGCTTCCAGTTTTTAAACAGAAGATAAAAACAGTGGAAGAATGCATAGGTACTAAGCAGAACAAAAAATGGGGCCATAATAACCCAGAAGGGAAAACACACACCATGGTGTTCATGTGGATGGTACATTTGCTCCTATTCAAAAGCAGCTGGATGGTCTAGTGGTGGGCACAGCTGCCTTCCAAAAGAAGTTGGCATTTCTACCTAAATGTTGCTGAAAGGATTTGGCATCACCTTATCTTCCTTGTAAGATTTTGAAATGTGCTTACTATGTGAAGTCTCTTGGGGTAGCTATACTCTCATATGCACAGATGTCATTTCGAGAGAAAGTTCTCTAATAAAATGCATCCCCTCCTTTCGATGTTGCAATCAGGGAAAGGAAGCTCACTAATGGCCTTTATTAGATGAAGTGTTATCAAGCACCACATTAATAAATGGCATAAATGGAAGGGTGGGGCAGGATGAAAATGCAAGCATCAGTCTGGCTATGGTGTGTATGTGTTTGTGTGTTCAATTTTAAAAGATGACAGAGTTCTTCTAAAAATAAGTAATCTGTCTCAAATATAAACTTCTCTCCTGGCTTTGTGATGAGTATATTAATAACAGTTTCTATTTTAAAAATGAACACTAATGAATAATGCATTGAGTATTCATTAATAATATATATACATATCTGTTAAGACGAGTTAAAAAGCATCACTTGGGTTCAAGCCAATGAATGGCATTAACTGAAAAGGTAGTTTGTATTGCACATGGGACCAAAGAACTTCACTTTCTCAGTCATAGTTAATTTGACAAAACATTCTTTTTCTTGGTCTTGATTGACCACGAAATCTGGAGGGAAATTCACACTCATTTGTTAATTCTCTGGCCTCATTCTTTTTCATGCCCTATTACACAAGTTGCTTCAATACAGCAAAAGCATGCATAAGTGTAGAAATCTCTCCCACTCCCTATGCCCCCAAATGCTCTTCCTTCCAAATATTCTTTGGGAAGCAAGTCATTGCCATGACAACCATAAGATGAGGTTTGAAGGGCATTTAGAGGCACACTTAGTGAAAGTTAATACCAGTTTGTGTTTTACAGGGTCAGGAAAACTGAGACAATGGGTCATATTTGGCAATAAGGCACTACTTAGCTATTTAGATCTGTCCACATCAAACCTAATCGGAATTCCACCTTAAAGAAAAAAAATCAGAGCAATTTATTCAGGGCTGATCCATCATTCTTCTATTGTAGCAAATTCCCTCAGTGCTCACCAGTAATTAAATTAAAAAATCATATATAATAGGAAAAAGAGAATCAAGAATTTGCCGTGCCTGACAAACTTTAAAGTGAAACATTCAGCTATGCACGCCCCACCCCCCAAAGGGTTAGCACGTTTTCCTTTCTAAGCAATACTTTTCCTCAGCACCTTCAACACATAGTGCCCTTCCCTGTCAGGCAGGTGATGAAGGTAAATTCCTACGGACTTGTGAGGACTTTTTCGGTGTCTTCAATACATTTGCTTCCAGAAACAGGAACACTGGACACAACTAGCAACTGCAGTTCAGGTATAGTAGGAATCTTTTGTGTAACTCGGGAGCTAGAGACGGCTTCCTCCAATGTATGAGAAACAATACTTTCTCACACTGGCTCCAGTCCAAAGACCAAGAGATAGAAATGATCATGCCTTTAAAAACTCACTATGTGATAAGGTTCATTCTTTCTTTGTCTATACCTGACTGACCACCTAGCCAAGCAGCTTTTAAAGTAAGGAAGAGAATCCTTTGTTCTCTCAGGTTCCATTTAAGGGAAAGTGGGTCGAAGGGCTTCCCCAGGGGAAGAAAATGAGCTCTGGAGCCAAATGCAGACAAGAAGAGATTTCATGCCCACTATTATTCGCATCCTCCCCAAGAAGTGAATTAATTCTTTGGCAGGTTAATGGTTAAGAAAGGTGGGGGTGCACACAGGTAGCCCCATTCCTGAGACCAAATCTAATTCCCTAGTGTAGCTCAGGCCATCCTCCAGGCTGGGTGGGGGTGGGGGTGGGGTAGGGGTGTTGGGAACTCTCTCCAGCCATGGCTAACACAGCCAGAACTGCATGCATTCGCACGCCCCAAAACTGGCGTCCCAGCCCAAGTGCGAAGTTGGGCGTTTAGACCTGAAAAGCACAGTAAGAGCCATTCAAAGCAGCAAGTTACAGTACCTTGAGAAGTCTGACAGATGGGAGGAAGGCTGCGTGGCATAGCTTCCGGATGGTCCAATTTAGGGGTCGAGAAGCATCAGTCTGATTCATGACCCCTTCCAAATTCCACCGGGAAGACAAGAGACTGCAAATCTGGGCAATGCCTAGAAAACAAACGGCCCCCCACGGCCCTGGCACCCCATGGTTATCTCCACACCTGCAAATTCCATTAGGGCAGAGGCTTCCTGGAACTTGGGAGTCTAGTCAAGTGGCGTTTCCTGAGCCCCTGAACCTTCTTAAGAAAGCCACCTCCCCTCTCCCTGCAGCCGTGCTCATGCATACCAAATGTGGCCGAATGGAGGCACACTGCCTGCTGCTTAGGGGAGGGGATGCTTGATTTCGAAGGAGAGGGACAGCCTGCACAAAACAGCCTGTGGTCGGAGTCAGAGCAGCCTGCTCCAGAATGCGCGCTCTCTCTCCCGCTCTCCTCCCAGCAAACGCAGGTCAGGCATTGGGGGGGAACCCGGGCCATTTGCTTTGCTCTCTTGTTTTGGGGGGGAGCCAGGAGGAGAGCAAAAAGGAACAAAAATGAAGCCAGAAGGAGAACTTGTACTTTCTTGCACAAAGCATCTTTGAGGGGCTGGAAACTGGTGCAGGGGGAGGGGCTAGGACACTGGGAGGGAGAAGGGATGCCTCTGAATGATAAGATAAATGCTTCCTATTTGATTTGTGTGACATAATAAATTGAGAGTATCGTAAAATGGATCTATAGTAAGAGGAGATCCCTGCTGTGTTCTGGGGTCTTTTATTAACTGTGATTGGCAGTCTTCATCCTGATACAAGCACCATATAGATGATAGATGTGTAGAGGCTGAGTAAAACTCACACACACGCTGGGAACAAGGAGTTATTCCTGTCGTAGAAGGCTTTGCAAAAGAATGCATTTGTGACTTACCATTTTAGCAATAGTAGTTTCTAAATTGGGGGATATCCCCACAAGACAGACCTCTTGCAAGGAAGCTTAACCCTTAAAGTGCCGTGTAGAACACCGTACACAGAAGATGGTTTCCTCAAGTATTTCCCTTCTTCCCAATAATGTTTGAAGGATGCTTTAAGAATGAGTGTAGCTGCCTTAGGATAAATAATTTGTAAAGCTCCCATGGTGAAAGGAATAAAAGAGAACTTTTTCCATTTAAAGCAAAACATTGGCCAATTTCACTTAGAGGAAGGGAGTTCAAGAGGTCTGGGAGGGGCAGTTGTGTCACACCCCTCACCTGGACTACCCACTCCCCATAGGCTTTAAACTACAGTGGTAGTATTGACCAAAGACTCTGCCCGGGAGATTCCCACACCCTCACCCTTCAAGCATTGTCAGGGTACTTAAAACTTCCCACTTCATTTCCTTCCCAGTGACTGTAGAGCTTTTCCATTTTTAATTAACCATGACTACTGTGAATTCTGGGACAAAATCCAGGGGGGTTAGAGCAGATGTGATAGAGATACAAGGCTGCATTTTAGGATCAAGAACAAAGAATGTAGCAGACACCTGATACCTGCACCACTGCACCATTTCCTAGAGTACTCCAGAGTCAGAGATGCAGAGTACTGCAGACCCACTGATTGCAACCTAAGAATCCATGCATCAGGTTAATTCTAAGGAAGCAGCATCAATTTAACAGAACTCACACAGGGTTCATTTTCTGTCACCATCCTACTTCCACAATGGGTGCAGGATGTTTTAAACAGTTAATGAGCTAGGATGTATATATGTCAGGATTAGTGTTGGGCATTTTATGTCATATAAACTCACACCAATGGCAGCCCTCCAGAGCAGATGCTATCATATGCCTGTTTCACAGATTAAGCAAATAAAGTCCAGAGAAATTAGCCTGGATTAGAGTCATATTGCTGAGCTGCAAAGATATGCTTTCTGTTCTGTTTCTTTCATAATTTGAGACAACAACAATAAAACTTCAGTTTTCTGGTCTTGAATCTGATGTAAGAATTGCAATAAAAGATGGAACAAGAGCTCAGAATGTCCCTCACACAGTGTTGTGGCATGGCACTGAGGTTTACTTAGCCTCCTGAATTCTAAAATCAGAGTTCAGTGAAATCCTGACCCCAGCCTTGGGCAGTTTTCTCATCTCCTCTGTGAACTGGAGTCTTTTATCTCTGAAATGGAGGCAACCATATAGCTACATACCTAAGGTTCTTGTGAAACCAAAGGGGCAAGTGTCAGGGGAATTCTGAGTCCAGTGTGTGGCCCCTTCTACCATGGCCGTATTCTAAGCAGTATGGCCTTATTTCAACAGGCAGCCATTGACATTTTTCATTAAGGATACTTTGTGTGTGTGTGTTTGTAGTACCGGGTAGTGAAATCAAGCAATACAAATTAAACCTGCATGTTTTCTATGAGTTGTGAAGAGTTTAGTAAATCATGTAAAGAAGAAAGTCAAAGACTGAAAAGGCAGTGGAACTTTCCCTCAGTCTTTTCTTACAGAAGGCTAGTCATCAGGTTGCAAAACTTCACCTTCACTGAGTCTACCAGGGACCAGTGGCCCACCCTTGCCGCTCACCATCCCAAAGTGTTAAGGACACCGCAGAAATGAAAGCATCCTTCTGAAACCACAGCCTTTGATCCTCTTAGCCCCTTTAATTTTTAAGACTAACTTTGGTCAGAAAAATAAGAGTTGTGTGAACTTAGAAGGGGGAGTTGTCACATCCTCTCTAGAGGCCATTAGAGGGACGAGCACAAAACCTTCAGGAATTTAGAGGCTACCCAGCAAAGGAGATGAAGACCAAAAGAATGAATGGCTTAAGGGGGCATCTTCCCATCATTGGACTAATTTGTGCCTGTGTTATTTGCTCTCATATATGGAAAGAGGGGGTTTCCAGGACCCTCCTCATTTTTCACATAGAATGAGTGTTCCCTCATGCTTTTAGAGAGGACCCTAAGAGGAAAATCAGAGAAGAGGAAGCTTGGATGAAGCAGTTAATGTCTCATACATCTACAATGCTCACTTTAACTGTTATGATTGTGTTTACAAATCTAAATGATCATATTAGTTATGATATTCCTAAAAGTAGCAAGTGTGTCTTTCAACATATTTCTGATCTCTTTTATGCTATGCAAGCTACTTTCCCATTGGTCATCTTTTAGTTCAGTCTCAGAGCAGTTACTAGGTCATAATATAGCTAGTCTATATTTTATCCTTCAAGACCATGTTCACCCTAAAAGTCAAGACCCTTTCATAGACATTGGAACACATTTAGTCTTCTTGATACTCCTCTAATATAAAGGGGCTTATCTGAAAAATTAAGGATACAAGGGAATGCATAATGACCAGGTAGATCAGAATGTCCAAACCCTTACCAAGTGCTTTATACAAACCACACTGTCCTAGTTTTCTTTCTATTGCTGTGAAAAGCACCATGACCAAAGCAACTTGGAAATGGAAGGGTTTATTTGCTTTATAGGTTATAGTCCATCATTCAGAGAAGCCAAGGCAGGACCTCAGGGCAGTAAACTGGAGTCGGAACCTGAAGCAGAGACCACAGAGGAACTCTGCTTATGGCTTTCTCAGCCTGCTTTCTTATATAATTCAGAACCATCTTCTCTGGGCAACAAAGCATTTGAGTATTGTAAGCAAGGCTTAGGAAGCAGTGTTAGTAGGAGCCAAAAAGACAATAAAATATTCTTCTGTAATTTGCCTTGGTCATGGTATGTTTTATCAGCGATAGCAAAGTTAGAAGACACACCTGGACACAAGATGTTCCAAAGTAAGTTTATACATTTTGTTATTATCATTGAAATATTGGGGTATTTGGGCATTAACTGGATGTGTATTTCAGAAGCTTATTTTCGGATATGGTCTGCATAGAGTTGATGCTATTCCAACACTTAGGACAAGTATTAAAACCAGACAACAGTACATCTGTAGGTATCTTCCACTTCAGAATTCTTTAGTAGTTTTAACATTCTACTTACTTGTAACTGGCCTCAACCCACAGTTTCCTCTTTTCTCTTTTAAAGATGTGTTTTTATTTTGTGAATGTGTGTATGTATGTGTAAGAGAGAGAGATACAGAGACAGAGAGAGAGAGAGAGAGAGAGAGAGAGGGAGGGAGGGAGGGAGGGAGAGAGGAAGGCAGAGGAAGGGAGGGAGGCAGGGAGGGAGGGAGGGAGGGAGGGAGGGAGGGAGGGAGAATAATAGAGACATAAAACAACTGTAGAGCCACTGGAACTGGAAGTTATGGCCTGCCTAATATGGGTTCTGGGAACATAACTCTGGTCCTCTGGAAGAACAGTAAGCACTCTTAGCTACTGAGCCATTTCTCCAGTTCTCATAACTTTCTAGTGTCTGCCAGATGAATAGTTTTGTCAAAAGATCATTTTTGTTGTGAACATTATGATAAATTATACTTTTTATCTGAAAACCATGGTATTTTAAATGTTTCTTTTCCTTTGGACTGTTCTCCGAGCTATGAAATTTTAGGACTTCTCTGATGTTTCCACAATATCCTTTAAAATATGAAATTTCATTGTAGACCCCATTCATCTATGATACTATTATTTATTATTTCCAAATATGTTGTTACATGATTTTTTTCTCCAGTTAAAGTAGTTTTCCATTTGGGATTCTTTTATGGATAATAGACTCAGAAATAGATTAAACTATATTAAAAATAATTACTCATTTTTAAACTAGCCAAAGCAGCATTTATTTCATATAAAACCAAAAATATCTCAGAATAAGAATGATTATATTTCTGCAGCACCGGGTTGTTTTCCCTGCATGCTTCCCACTCTCTTCACAAATGCTTCCAGTGACATTAACCGGGTAAGGTTTGGAGGCAGAGCATTCCACAGTTGGGCAGTTTCAATTGACAGGCAGTGGTGAAATGCTCTTTATTGAGACTTCTTAAGTCAAGTTGTCTTTCCAAGGCCAGTTTCCTAAATGCCTTTCTGGACTGGGCTCAAACAGACTTGTGAAATCTGCCTTTCCTTAACAGTGGACAATCCCTCTTCAAACCATGCAGTTCTTAGTAGAACACCCTCTTCGGGGTTATAAAAATTCAGTCTCTTCAGGGGCTTCATTCAATATTGTGTCATAGAGTTACTTAAGACAGAGTAATGTTTTAATCCTCCCAAATGCTTTGAAATACTTCTCACAAAGGTCTTTTGGGGAGCTTGAAGAAAAGTCACCAATAATTTAACCTCTTCTCAAATTCTTATCAGTAAGCCGATGCAATGTTGACTCTAAGCAATAGCATCTCCCCCCTACAGAAAACTGACATTCTATCTCTTGTACACACAGAAAGAAGGGGGGAGGGAGGGGCTGAAGAAGGAAGGGAGGGAAAGACAGAGAGGCGGAGACAAAGAGAATCAACTTGAATTGGTAAGTATTCCTCTTTTTAAAACTTTGTGAGGGAGGTAGGTTGTAGTG